TCACGTATAGTTACAACGGCTGCCCCACCCTTCAAACCGAAACGCAATGTACCCAATCTCCTGATTTTAATATGAACGTAATGTCTCATAAAATTATAATGGTTGAATGTAAATAAAACAATAATATTATCTTACATACCATTTTAATCCATATTAATATACGCTTCTTAGATAAAACTGGACATTTATTTTTAATTACCATTAAGCCCCACTGGCTGCCGCTGCTTATAGTTATTAGCAATGCCAAAGGCATAGCCAATCAGCTAGTCTATCGAACCTACTGTGAAAAGCGACTAGAGAAACAACTTATCTTGCGTTGTATGATGGCTACCCGCCACAACAGTAGTGCTGCGGTAGTATCGATAGTTCTGGCGCCAAGAAGTTCTAGGGTCTGATACTGTGTTTGTGTTGCCTTGCAACCAAATAATTAAAGATTCAGTGAGTCCACACGGGTAGGTACCACCACCCCGCCTATTTCTGCCGTGAAGCAGTAATGCGTTTCGGTTTGAAGGGCGGGGCAGCCGTTGTAGCTATACTGAGACCTTAGAACTCATATTTCAATGGTGGATGGCGCATTTACGATGTCTATATGCTCCAGTAACCAATTAAAACCAGGTAGGCTGTGAGTTTATCAACCGATGTAAACAAAAAAACAAAAAAAATATTTTTTATGTGAACGATTGTACCCGACGTGTTATTGTATCATCTTGAATTCTCTAGCCTCGACTATAGACTGAGATGGTTAATATCTGTCAGAGTCCTTCCTTAGATTTATGCAATCAATGCATCTCTTTGTACAGGAAGAACTGCTTTAGTGACATCAGATTTTGTTGTCATTTACCGTTTTGTTGGAAATAGTCAGTGGCAAGTTTGAGTAGACCGTCAAATATTTTTATTAGAGTAAGATCCCAGGGCAACCAGACGTCACGTATTTTCTGACGAACGAAATGTGGCCGATTGGGTAGTGTCAGTATGTACTAAGAACGCGAGCCTACCTGCTAGCTTGCTTAGACGGCCAATTTTCAGGTATCGGGTAATCAAGGTACATAAAAACATTACGTACCTCACGTAAATTCTCAAAGCTGATTTTTACGTATATTTTAGGGAATATCCTTAAAAATAAGTCGCCAATACTCCCAGACACATGCCGAACGCTTTAAAGCTCCCAAAATAAATAATATCTTATATTATATTAATAATTATATTATCTTCACGTAAATTCTGATACTCCTGATTCTTGAATTTTATCCTCCCGGGTAAAAAAATATATATATAATTATTTAAGGAAATTGGCCCTATATAAATTATATTTAATGATTTTTTTCGATTCATCATTCATATAGTTGTAAATTTTCACATTGTAAATTTTCATGGTCTGAACTTTCCAGATTTGAGGGCTTTTTTTTTAGCTAACGGCTCTTCACTAATTTCAGTTGATATACCCTCAAAAGTTCTCTGCCTCCTTTTTTTGCAAATACAAAGTTATTTCCTCATGAGCATCAGGGATATTTAATAATTCTGATTCATCTCGGGCAGTTGAATCAACATTTTGGTATATAATACCAACGGTATCGTGCAAAGTATCCTAACCAGTCTTTGTTTCCACAAAACGATCGAAATCGTCGAATGAAACGCCGGTACAGAGATCCGGAAATTTTTGAAGTGAAACTTCTTTAGGCGCATGAGGGTATTTTTACAAAACGTCACGCAGGTATGCAACGGAAGTGACATCAAACTACTATTGAAATTAAGTACTTGTCAAATGTCAGTAGTAGTAGTTGTTGTATTTTTCCAACTGGAAAGGCAAATGAATCATACCATACAGCCTAATATTTTATAATTTTTTTGTGAAAAATGTCAATAGCTATTGAAATGAAATGAAAAGAATTTGGAACATTAATCAAATAGCATGAAATTAAATTAGTCAATTCAATTGGCAAAATATTAGTCATTTACAATTTAGACATCTAAACATAATGTGACTGTCAACACTCAGGTTTGAGATTGACATTTGACAGACTTTTGGCGGGAACATATCTTCCTTTTTCCCTTCCTCTAAGTCTCGGAAATCTAAAGTTTTGGATTTGTATAAATATAAGCAAGACTTAGTTCGCCAAAAAAGTTTCACTTCTGACATGTGTACTTTGTACGCACGCACTTTTTTTTATAGGGCATACACTTGATTTTTCTAGTGGCGTGAATGTTGCTTCTGTTTCGAGCTCTTCCACTCCTGGATAACTGATACAATGCCCATATCTATGAATTATATCAATAATTTTGCGCGTCTACTCGTTTAGACTTTTTATAGCCATTCCGAGGATAATGTGTTTTGATGTTTATATTTTTCCATTGAAAATACCGTAGACGACGTCTTCACAGAATGACTTGACTTGACGGATACACTTAGGATTGTTTTTACGTTTTCGGTTATTACCGGCTATCAAAGTGAAGTAAAACTCCAGTAGATCTTGTGGCACAGATATTTCTCCTTCCTCCAAATTTTTCGCAGTTATGTTATGTGGTAATTTTTTCATTTCAGCTTGCAAGACTGATTTTCTCAATAATAAAGCGGCTTTAAGTAAAATATCATCATCTTTTAGACTTTCAAATAATTGTTCATCAATAGCCACTAAATGTTTCGGTGCTAATATTTTTTTATTCTGATAAGAGTAATAATTTTTATTTCTTTACCGAATTGTATTTTAATTTTGGATTCTAAAATGTGTGGTTTGAAGTCCACTTCAACTTCTTTACCATTATTTTCTTCACTTTCTTTGAATAATCCCATATAACTCCGAAAAATAGAAGTCAAAAAGTAACATGATCCTTTTTGAATTATATTTTCTTCGATAAAGGAACATATTTCACCAAAAGCAGCTTGATGTTGTTGACGAAGTTCATGCCAATCAGATTTAGGGCTTTTTTTGTTTGATGAGGCTTTATAAGAGAAATTCAATTGACAGATTTTATGATAATATATTTTGGGATGGGAATAATTTACAATTTTATCAATAAACTCCATATGATTTTCCTTTTGTTCTTTTACTTTAGATAAAAAAACTGTATGGTAACTGGAAATTAGAGGCAATCTCTTAGACTTGATCTTTTTAGTTTTTTGGTCACAGTATATACAAGTAAGACTGTTTTGAGTATTACTTACATCAGTATCAACCTCAATATTACTGCCAGAAAGTAAATCAATATTTTCCAGGTGCTCAATATGGTCTTTTACATTTGAAGAAACCGGTTCGACTAACTCAGGTAAAATAGATGGGCTAGGTATTGCTAGAGGGTCCGGTATAAGTGTGGTTGTTGAATTAAAGCCTTGAGAAGTAGATGCTTCTGGTTCAATACTTCGTATGTTGAATTCAGCTGCCGTTGAAGATTCTACAGATGAATTTTCAGCAATATTTAATGATTTTCCTGTTGAGGTAGATTTCTCGATTGATTTATTTTTTGGTAAATAGTATTTTTTATTTAACCCTGTAAATGATTTATAACATTGTCTGTGATAACCACTTTTGAATAAATCACCCGGAAAAACAACGTCTTTAAATTTAAGAGTATGTTCTATTCTATGTTTTAAAACAACTCGACACTTTTTTAATGTTTCTTCCGTGAAACGTATTAAATTTTCATCAGAATATTTACAAAAAAGGGGTTAGCCCTTACTCCCCTCCCTCCCGACTAAAAAATTGATGAACCTTAATCTGAATTTTAACCCTATTTTGACTAAATAGTGCTATTCTAACCTCAAAACATTTACCGTTAATATTAATCCATTATTATTCATGGTTAATTATTATTAATCCACGCTTTTTTTACAATAACATCATTTTTTACACTATTTTTAATTCAAATTTATTAAAATTTATTCTCTATTTTTAGTTGGATTTTCTATAAAACCGTATTTTGTTAGTTTTTTAAACTATTATTTATTTTTCATGTTTCAGTTGAATTTCAATTTTTTCAATTATTTTTTTTAATATGAATTGTCATCGGTCCTTAATAAGTACCTATACCAAATTTAGAGTTAATCTGACGTTTTGAAGGGGGTCAAAATCATGTTCAAAGATTCCGTTACATACTAACATCTGAAGCTAATAAAAGCGTATAATTTATAACACTAACCACTTGTCTGAAGATGGATAACAAAATCCACTTTGGAATGTCCATTAGCTCCGATAACAACAAAACATCAATGCTATTGATAACGTATGGAGTTCAATACCAAATTTTGAGCAAACTATTGTATTTTTTACTAGCGACCCGCCCTCGCTTCGCTTCGGAAACATTAAAACACACATGAAACCAAAAAAAATAAAATAAAAAAAAATGAAAAAAAAGTAGCCTATGTTCATCAGGGACAATGTCGGCTTCTAATGGAAAAAGAATTTTTCAAATCGGTCCAGTAGTTTCGGAGCCTATTCGAAACAAACAAACAAACAAATCTTTCCTCTTTATAATATTAGTATAGATTTTGCCATTTTTCTTTACGGTATTTAACCACCTACAACACAAAAACCGTTCTAAAAAGGTCTTTTTTTTTTAAGGGATTTTATGACCTGGTAACGGATACCTATATGTCATGTGTTATTTTAATTTATATTCATATTTTTATGAAAAATGATATTATGGAGTGAAATGAAATGAAGATGATTAATTTGAAACATTAATCAACTGGGATGAAATTAAATGAAATGAAATGGGATGAAATATAACCTCAGTAAAATGGTGGTCATTTAATAAGATTTTTTCAGTGGACTTTTCAGAGGATCCCGTGAAGTTAAGTCCAGCGGCTTTGTTTCATTTTCCCACATTTGTGCACTCTCACAGATATTAAACATTTAAACCTGAAGAAACACTAAATAGACAAAATAAAACAAATCACACAACTGCACTCCTCGCGTTCCCGCCAAAAAGTCCTCTAAAAAGGTCAGTTATAAAGGGCTCATAGAATAAAGTCTGGTTAACATTAAAACACAATTTGTTTTATTCGAAAATTTATTATGGAGTCAAATTATATTTATCGTATCACTAATAACAATATTTTAATATACAATATTAGTTTTTTGAATGTATATAAACGATTATTGATAACATAACGTTGACTGTAAATCTTATTTTGCATCGATTAAAAAATAATAATGCTGATAGTGTACTCAGTAAAAGTATTTGATTCAAACAAAAGAAAATTATGTAAGATTCATTTTAAGAAAACAATCTGACACTTTTTTTTTTTACTTTTACGACAAACTAATATTACATTATTGAACATAATCAAAAATAATCCTAATGAATACACCGTACTGTGGTAAGACGCCAAATAATCACGAGTCATAGACAATAATATAGGTACTTTAGATAGAATAAAATTATTCTCACTATTCGAGAAGTGATTAAATTAGAAATATGAATGTCTTTTATAAAAACTATTGTGATAATTTTTAATGATCTAATACAAGGACAAATGCGATATGAAAACAACATTCAATTGTGACGAAGTAAAGAAAATTTTTGAATTCCAATTTACTGAACGAATTTGTTTAAATCGCAAATCGAAATTCGTAAATACGTTAAAATTAACGCTTTCACTGTAACAATTCTGTTCGTACGTAATTGATGTAAGAAAATAATTGAGAGACGAAAATTTTTTAGGCAGCGGCTTGGCTCTGCCCCTGGCATTGCTGAAGTCCATGGGCGACGGTAACCACTTAACATCAGATGGGCCGTATGCTCGTCTGCCTACAAGGACAATAAAAAAAACGTTCAATTTTGTTTGGAATTCAAAAATGGTCGACTTTTACGGCCACCGTGTTCAAAGTGGTCGTTGCAGGTAGATGTATCTGATCCCAGTCTGTGCTTAGATGAGCTTCAGTGTCAGTCGCTTTGATTGTCAGCCCTAGTGATGGAACAGCATTAGCGCAATGCGGTAGACGGAGTGTGACCGGTCTGAGGAACACTAGTCCTTGCGGACCACACATCACTAGTGGGGATAGCATCGCTTCACCTGTTCAATAAAACATTATTATATTATCTTAGTTAATACCATTGATGTATCATGTTGGTTGCATGGCGTGCCTTGGAAAATACCTATAATGCCCAACAGTGGACTAAAATGGGCCGTTAATGATAATTTTATTTTGAAGATCATAAGCTTGCAGTGCAATAGTGGGTAGGCGATAAAAATTCGAAAATCAATTCTGCTGTTTTTAGGCAGTTGAGTTTGTTAAGAATCAAAAAGATTGGACATACTCTATAAAAATGAGAATGGTGTAGATTTGGAAACACAACAAAATAAAAACTGAACACACAAACACAAATCGCGACACGTTATGCAGGTTATCCGAAACAAAAGCTAGCCGACAATAAATCGATGCCTCCAATGAACACTACTCTAACTCAAAATTTTGAAATTTTCGTTTTTCACGCAAATCGCTTCACTATGTTAAAAGTATTATAATTAATCACTATTGATGGGGTTCGAAGCAAGAGTAAATCAGTTAGTTACACAAAAAGACCATAAATATATCTGCAATAATAAATATTTTATCAACTTTTTTCGTTTAAACGCTCCTCCTGCAAATCTACGAATTTGGAGTTAGCGTAGTGTTCATTGGAGGCATCGAAATAACACATGCAGCGTAAACATATTCTAATGACACAATAAAATCCATTAATATACCAAAATCCTTTAACATAAATATTCAAACAGAGAGAACGGAAAGCAAAAAATAATACGTGAATACTTTTTGTACAGTGCCCAGATAAAATACTTGGTTAGAACATACGGTTATTTGGTTAGATGTAGGCAATATAGTCGTTGGCGTCTTCTCTTGTCGATCTCTAAGTACGAATGTAAGTGGTAGTAACTGCACAAATATAAAACATAATGTTAATTATATATATAATATAAGAATATATATACATATATATCTACAAAAACATAACTTAATTAAATACTGCATTGTGATTGTGAAGATAATTATGTGTGCCAGTGTTTCAACACTCGAATTTAAAATTAATGAAATTACGTAAAATAAAGAAATAGAAATGGTGATTTTTTTTAAATAAATAATAATGGAAAAGAAAAAGTAATGATTAATAGCGTTATTGTAGGCATAAACATATAATTCATTCCGCATTCCATGCACCATACATACATCATACTAAATCGTGTTACAGAACCGCATATTACGAAGTATACGACAATTGAGTCGAAATTTTTAAACTCTATAAATAATATTATTCCTTGCAATCCCCCAGTGNATTTTTTTTAAATAAATAATAATGGAAAAGAAAAAGTAATGATTAATAGCGTTATTGTAGGCATAAACATATAATTCATTCCGCATTCCATGCACCATACATACATCATACTAAATCGTGTTACAGAACCGCATATTACGAAGTATACGACAATTGAGTCGAAATTTTTAAACTCTATAAATAATATTATTCCTTGCAATCCCCCAGTGCTTCCAAAAAACAATCCATTCGCAAACATTAAGGCCAATTAGTAGGTGCAGTCTACCACTACAGTGTTTAAACGCGTGCTTCGTTATAAAAGCTTTACCGTTATCCATATCGATTGGTGGTCCCCCCACGCGCTGACTGAGTCGTGGATCTGACACCGTAAAGTAGATCTTTTGCTTGATGCCCGGAGCAATGGCCTTGGGAGGGATTACAAGGGATACGCCCCATTGCCTATCTTCTAAAACGCCACCTTCACTGTCAAATATTCCCCATGTTGTATGCGGACCGTCCGGTTCGATTTGTTGGGTTTTATTGCCAAATTCAGTGCTATCTGATAGCGTTGTCTGCAGAACTGTATTTTGGTTATTTATAATTGTCGTTTCATTTTGACTGTTCGACATGTTTTGTGAATTTTCCTGGCTAGTTTCGGGACTTTTTTCAATTATCTTTTCGCAAAAGGTAACCATCTTATTTTGTTTCGGGGATTGTTCAGACATATCTTGTGATGTATAGGGTGTGCTTTGAGGTTTATTTTCGAAATTCATGCTGCATTCTGACGCATAATGCGTTTCCATAGATGTACTAGATTCATATGGAGTTGGTGATGTAGTTACTTTTAACGCATTAGAAATGTGATCAGCTTTTCCGTGCAATCGAGGGGCGTACATAGCTTCGCCTTTCAGTATGTTCGTTTCTAAATTTAGTGACTTCTCTTTTTCCGCATCTGTTCTAGACTCGGTCAATCTGAGTTTCGAGAAATCAATTTCTTGGAATGTATCTGTTTTTAGTCCGGCTTCTGCTTCGTCTTTTGTCTGATAGACCGGCTCCCGACGAGACAAATGATTAGCATCACTTAATTCATAAGGGCTGCTTCTAGCACTGCTATCTTGTATTTCAGGTTGTATTTCTTTTGTTTCTTGCTGTGATTCATATATGATGCTTTCTTTCAATTCTCTTTTTGAGACATACAATGGTTCTCTTATTTTCGCAGAATCACTTTCATTAGCCTCCTTTCTCGTTTGGTAAATCATGTCCTTTTTAGCTTGATTTCTTTGTTTTATGATTTCTAACTTTTCTTCTAGCTTTACGCTATAAGTAGAATCTTTGTTTGCTAAAAATGCTGCTTTCTGTGACATGATCTCTTGTTTAGTTACATAGGTGCACTCTGCAGAAGCTGGTCTGACGTCATGTCTATAATCAAATACCTCATTCCTACTACTGTACTGACTGTCAGAACCACTAGATTTCACTTCGGACCTCGTGCTATATGGAGAATCCGTTTGACCGATTCTTGCCATCATCTCTGATCTAGTCGCATACGGTGGTTCGCTCATACATTTACCCATGGGTGTTATCCTTCCTGCGCAACCGACCGGTGTGTGGAATCTACGATCAGGTCGGACGGCGTAAGAACTTTCGGACCACGATGTGCTAGGCGGCGGTTCGTAAGTTCTTTTACCATATATCGGTTCCTTAATATATGCAGTCTCCATTCTTTGTTTAAACAGTTCGTCTTTTGTGTTGTATGGAGATTCGGAAAATCTTTGCCGTAGCATTTCTTCTTTAGTGGCGTACGCGCAGTCAGATGTAATTCTTTGTTTTAACAGTTGTTCCTTGCTAGCATAAGGGGCCTCTTTGCATAGGAACTCAGATTGCGACATAATTTCTTGTTTATTAGCATAGGGACTTTCAGTCTGTATTTCGGTTCTTGTCACGTACGCACTCTCTCTCAAGCACTCAGATTTGGAAGCGTAAGGAGGGTCGATTAATGGCATTGGTAGAGTTTGTCGACTTCCGTACGGACATTCAAAGCTTTGATCTGATACTTCTGATCTGCTTNCCTCTTTGCATAGGAACTCAGATTGCGACATAATTTCTTGTTTATTAGCATAGGGACTTTCAGTCTGTATTTCGGTTCTTGTCACGTACGCACTCTCTCTCAAGCACTCAGATTTGGAAGCGTAAGGAGGGTCGATTAATGGCATTGGTAGAGTTTGTCGACTTCCGTACGGACATTCAAAGCTTTGATCTGATACTTCTGATCTGCTTCCGTAAGGATTTTCAGATGAAGCATCGTACTGAGAAGTGTATGTCCTCCTTGGTTTAGGAATAGGATCGTAGACGAGACGGTCCTTGCTTTGGTAAACTGGTTCCGGAGGTAGCGGTTGAGTGGGATAGAATGGTTCGTGTTTTATTTGTTGCCGTCTTTGGTAAATGGGATCTATTTTGGTTATCATGTTAAAATTATTAGTTTGGCCATATATACCCCGTCTATTGTATTCTATTAGGGAATTTTGTCTGCGCAATAATGGCGTAACTTTTGGTTCTGTTTCGATATCGCACATCGAATTCTGTCGTCTCAGCGTTTTTAGGACAGGTCTCGCGTCGTAATCCCGTATAGTACATATCGAGCCGTTGCGGTCGTCGCAGAAGGAACTCTGTCTTTTAAGGATCGGCTTCAAGACAGGTTTCTCGCACGATGAGGAGTTGCTACGCTGCAACATTTGATTTCTGATTTGCGTGTTTCTCATGTGCGTACTGAAATCGCTCAGATCCGATTTCTCGCGTCTGAGCATCGTGATCTGTGTCGCTTGGTTCCTCTGCTGCAAGTCGCTTTCGCAGAGCGACTTCTGTCGTGACACCTTCTGGGAGTTTTTCGTTTTAGATCGAAACAGTTCAAGGACGGCGTTTTTAATGAACGATGGCTTTTTGGATAGTTTCTTTTTAGTTTTTGGCGAGAATGTTTCGTCATGCTCCACGGTCGTATTCAAGGCGTCAGATGAACTGCGGAAACCCACAACCAAACACCTACTTAGTTGGTTTTTTTTTGTTTGTTTGTTATACATATTTTTAATTTGAAATTATTACACGAATTCGGAGCACAGAATGAACATTTAATAACGATCAAACGAAAGTATTATATTATGTATTTTAACTACGTGAGATTTTTAATTTTGCGATGGACAACACTAAAAAGCATATTGAAATAATTGTCGAAGTATACAGATATGTGAAAAGATACAAACTGAAAATTAAAAAAACAAAAACACGTACTTAATAAATATGAAAAAATATTATCCAGAGGATATGTGTCATGTAAATTAAAGGGAAAGAAGAATCGAGAAGCAGGATAAAAGGACGAAGACAATATAGTTCAATATGCTTCTATTAAAACATCAAGTTGCACTAAAATGCAGACACGCACTGCCAATAATTTATTAAGAATTAAAAAAAAAAACACTAAATACTCTAAATGTTATAAAAGATAATTAAAAAAATAATTATCAAGTAATAATAAATCTTACGCCCGCATATAATGAGAGATATGTTACAGTACATACGTGTAAATCGTTCGTAAACCAAAAATACCATAAACTAATGCTGAGGCCCCGGACAAGACATTGTTAGTCGTTTGTGAAGCGATCGGTGTTTGCATGTTAGGGCAAATTGCGTAAGGGCTGGATTCGAAATTGAATACGAACCTAATCATATTCTTAAACATGCAATTCTTAATTATACCGAGGAGTAAAAGGCTGTTTGGTTAAAGCGACATTTTTGCCACTTCACAGGAGGACTATTTAAAGTTTAAAATTTGGGGGAATAAGAAATCATAATAAAAAAACTTCTTCAGCTATTTTAAATTAAGTAAACTTAATTGAAATTCAATTAAAAACATCGAACTGTTGATGTTAAATAACAAAATAAAACGGACCTTTAATTACAAAGATAATTAATGTCGCGTGTTAATCAAATCAAATCAAATAAAAAAAAAATTATTCAACATAAATGAAAGTACATACTTGTTGAACGTCAAAAAGAAATACCGCCAATTCACAAAAACTAGCCTCCGCCCTGAGAAGAACTGGCAAGAAACTCAGCAGGTGTGTGTTTTTTTATATATATATTTTTTTTTAATATTAATTTTTTTTTTAATATTGATCGTCGCGAAACTTCGCTTAAACAAACTAGCCCTTTCGCTCTTCGACATGTAAAGTGAAATGTAACAGGACTCGGTATTTTTGTACAAAAGCGTTCTCGTGTGACCTACCTCAAGTTGTGCATGTGTTGAGGTTTTCTGTACAGTTCAAAAGCTGAGCCGCGTTGCTCGCGGCTTCCTGCTAAATCTGTGTAGATTATTCAATATTTATTTCGGTTATATCTTTATTGTTTTTTTTTTATTGTTTAGATGGGTGGACGAGCTCACAGCCTACCTGGTGTTAAGTGGTTACTCGAGAAAATAAACATCTACAACGTAAATGCGCCATCCACCTTGAGATATAAGTTACAACGGCTGCTCAACCCCTCAAACCGAAACGCATTACTGCTTCATGGCAGAAATAGGCGGGGTGGTGGTACTTACCCGAGCGAACTCACAAAAGGTCCTACCATAAATTGTAAGATTATTTTCTTCCAGAAACGATGTTGTATACTTTGCAATTGGCTAAATTTTTTTATAATATGGCGCTGGGCGAAATTGTGAAGCAAAAAAAAAGTGGTAATAAACTACTGAAATTTAATTTAAAAAAAATTTATTCCCATCCGACTAGTCCATTAGCCATCGTTCTGTATTTAATGCTTGTCTTTTATTATCACCACAAATGACGTCACACGAAATGAAGTTACATTCAATGGAATTTCGTTCAAGACTGTGTGCTTAGAGCGAGTTTTTTAACTTTTCGATCCCGTAAAAGTTAACTCAAATTTGTATGGAGTTGGAGCAGCGCCCCTAGCGGCAAACGAAGAGAAGCTGTTTCAACTTCATACAAAATTGCGTTAACTTTTACGCGAACGAGAAGTTAAAAAACTTGACGTGTTTAAAACAAACTGTGTGGCGGAACAAAGTTCGCCGGGTCCGCTAGTAAAAACATAAAACACTTATACGTAGAACTCACCGATGAGGTGAGGGTTATGCGGCAGGTTGATGCCGCGGTGGTGGGATGGGGGCCCGGAGTACGGCGGCGACTGTGGCGGCATCTGACCACCGTACATATTTTGCTACGGACACACGTAAAAGTTGTCTTTTTACATAGATCCCAAAATTTCGTTCGATAATCAACTACCTACATATTTACTCTGGACGACTCGACAGTTTAATTATTAAATTTATTTTTTATTAAAATTTATTTAAATTTTGACATTTATTAAGTATGTTACTTAACATCTAAATAGCACTTATTTAATGTGCCCGTTAAAATAAAACTTTTTTAAACATATTATTATCCGCAACACGCTTCGTCACATTATAAATTAAAATTAATTTAATTAAATGGCAAAACATTTTGAAATTGTTATTGAAAGTATCAAGAAAATAATTACATTCTGAAATATACATCGTAAAATACAATATAAATACGACAGTATTCATAAAAAATGTCACCCCTCGATATTATGTTCTAGATCAAGGATGAGCAACATGCGGCCTGAATGGCATTTCTAAAATTTAATTTGCTTTGTCGACTTTCCCCCATCAATTCGCTTTTCTGTTATTTTCTTGTTTATTTTTATCTTGCATTAAAATTTATATATGATATATTTTTCAGTTTTGTATTTTTTTAGTCTAATATTTATTATAAATAGTGGGATAAGGTGGAGAAAAAGAAGAAGAATATTTATTATAAATAAAGTTTTGTAAATTATTAGGCAAGGTGCGGCCCGCCAAAAAAATTAAAATTTACATTTGGCAATTGATTGCAAAGGTTGCTCGCCCTTGCTCCAGATTCTTCTTCTAGAACATGTTTAAGCTTCTTAGATAGTAACGCCATCTACAATTCGAGGAACATAACTAGCGTTGTTGATATGTTACCTGGGGGTAGTTGTGGTTGTGGGGGCGGTGCGAGGGCTGCGACAGAGAGTGCTGATGCGAGTAGTGCGAGCCGCGACCGGCGCCCGGGGACGGCGGCCGGACCGGCTCCGTGCTCTGTGACCGGAACGCATCGAGTCAGACGTGTGTGACGAGGCTTATCGACCGCGCGGGTGGGTTGGGGGAGGGGGGTATACGAACGTAGCATCGTATTCGCACATACGGTGCTATAGCATCACTTATGCAAATTATGTAATCTTAGAATTTGAGAAAAATTTGAAAATTCAACATCTTTTTATTATGAAATAAAATGATAATATTTAAACATCTCACTAAGAATTAATATTATAAAATTGGATTTTCTCAAACTCAGTTCAGTTATAACAAGAATTGCATGAGTGACATTATAGTATTGTGCAATATAATTGTTGCAAAGTATGACTGCACGCCGCCCTTACTTGTGTGAGTGACCAATCTGTGCTTAGATGAGTGGACGAGCTCACTCACAATGTTAAGAGATTAGTGACGCCCATAGACATCTATCTACAACGTAAATTCCGCCACCCACCTTTGAAATATGAGTTCTAAGGTCTCAGTATAGTTACAACGGCTACCCCGCCCTTCAAACCGAAACGCATTACTACTTCACGGCAGAAATAGGCAGGGCGGTGGTACCTACCCGCGCGGACTCACAAGACGTCCTGCCACCAGTAAAGTGCACTGGTTTATGGTACTCACCCCGTTCCTCGGGTGCATGCCGCTGTCCGGGGGCCGGTAGTGTTTGGGTTTCGGCGGCGGCACCGGCTTGTACGGGGGCACGGGGGCGGCTCCTCTTTGGTTGTAGTCTGCTTGAGATGCCGAATTCGTTCGCCCGCTGCTGTTTGACAATCGAGTGATAGAAAATATTATTACATATTTGTGTACTGTATAAAGTACAACAGTATTGATTCGGTCACCGTCCTCGCCGAACCCGTCGCTTGCGACGAAGGGCTCGACGAGTAAATTAACCCACAGACACAGCCCACTGAGTTTCTCGCCGGATCTTCTCAGTGAGTCGCGTTTCCGATCCGGTGGTAGATTCCGCGAAGCACTGCTCTTGCTAGGTCCAGTGTTAGCAACTTCCGATTTGAGCCCCTTGAGCTCACCTACAAACGTTAGGGTGAAGCTGAAATAGCCTCTCAAGGCTATCAGCATAGGTGGGGAAAAAAGTATTGATTTCTCCGACAAATCCTTAGCATGTAGGGTTGTTGCAAAAATAAAATAGGGTTGTTCGTTTTATTTAGGTTTTTTTTTATGTGAATCATCTATAGACTTTAAAACTGATTGCTGGTGTGGCGACGCATGCCGTGGCGACGCGCTATTTTAAAGTATACACATATATACTGTCTGTATGTATTAGTGTACAGTGTGTTGACGCGTCACGTTGCACAAGCGACTGTTTCTTAATATCAACATTTTATTTTTCATTATGCCTAATGAATTTCCTATCGTAAACTATCCTGTTATGCATCTATTCCTATACAAAGTAATATCAATGTTTCACATATTATTATTATTATATTTTTTTTTAACTATCACGCCACGTTAACAGGTCCCGTGCTAAGTTCGTAAAGAACTTGTGTTACAAGTACCAGATAACGGAAATAAATATAATATTTGTATTATACACATACATATATTTAATATACACCCATAACCCTGGAAAGACATTTATATTTATCATACAAATATCTTCGCTTGGCGGGATTCGAACCCGGGACCCCCTTGTGTAGTGACTATGTCACTTACCACTACACCAGACGGCCGTTTGCCGTGACACTATTATGTCAAGTCTTCCCGCAATGGCTAATTTTTATTATCAATTATCAATGTAACTGAGCCAGGCTAAATGTTCGTGTAACGAGTGGCCGTAAATTAGATTTAAAAAAAAATTAAAATGAATTGCCATAACTAAAAATTAATATTTCAGTATCCGTTTATGACATTATGATCAACATGTTAAAAACACGTACCTATATTTAGCGTGGTCGTTAGTTGGCACGTTCGGTAGCGAAGGTCCTCTGGCGTGCATGGGCGCGTGCGGACTGTGCCCATTCATGGGCGGCGGACGATTCTGTTGTGGACTCCTGTATTCTGGGGGTCTGCTTTAAATCGCAAAACAAAATCAGAAGTTGCTCTTAACAACAAACTTAAAAAAACATTACACACTAGTGTATGTAATGTTTTTTTTTGTATGTATGTATTTGACAAATCACGCATGCATACTATTGGTTTATTCTTAAACTTTTCATATTGCCTATAATCTATGGTCAAATTGAAAATAGATTAAATATTGGTTGTCTCTAATATTATTTGTCTATAGTGTGGTCTTGGCGAAATCTATGATTATAGCAGTATAATAATCTTTGACTATGGAATCATAATAGTGTACAAACTTTTAAATTCAATTAATTATAGTCGAATCTCGACTACCAGGGGACCACTAGTTTCAAATAATTATAGTCGAACTTCGACTACCGGTGACAATTAGTTTCAATTATTTATAGTCCAATTTCAACTACCGGAGATCACTGGTTTCAAATAAGTAGAGTCGAATTTCGACTACCGGAGGACCACTTGTATATATATATATATATATATAAATACCTGTAATTGTTCTCAGGGCCCCTATAATCCAGTGAGTTGTGTTCGTGCGAGTTCGAGTTCCTGTGCGGGCTCTGTGTGGCCATCGCAGCCGGGTTCGGTGGAGGTGGCGGCTCCATTTTACTGGTAAAATTGACAGAGCAATTCAAAGGTTTTAGCAGCAAACTTGACAACAACACAAATGACGTTTTTAACACTAAACATACCATAACGGGTCAAATGACCAAGTTTGAACTTTAACTCTTTCTTACCAATTAATTTACAATTATTATACAATTTTTTGTTTTTGTTAATTTTGAGTAATACTTGTCATATACCGTAATCTACCCGCTACGATAGAAATAGGTACCAGTAAGTATTGATGTGATTAGTCTTAATACCGAGCGTGCTTTATTTAACGCGATTTTAATATTGTTACGCCGGTAAGAGTAACGCCATCTATCGCCGAATAATCGAACGAATGTCGTAGGATCTAGTAGCACCTAGAACGCTCGAGAAATACAACGCCATATATTGTCAGATAGCGGAAACACACAATACTAGACTTTTGTGGAATATTCTCGACGATTCTAGGGATTTCGTCTCGACTATAAAAGTTTTGCAGAGATGGCACTTCTCTAATCAGTCTAATCAGTCAGTCAATAATAGGAACTACTCGAAGCGAAACAGCGAACGGATCCCCTGAAGCGAAGCGGAAGAAGCGAATTGATAATTTTAAAGTGTTTGAAGTGTTCTAAGTGCTAAAACAGTGTTAACTTGTACTTAGGGAATTTTTTTTTATTTATCCCGAACCCCAGCACGTAACAATAGCTTGGCCTGTATGTATAGATGTAATGAAATCTTTGGTTTTTGAACGTAATTTTCACAGACTTCAATACGTCCCATTAAGTTAAAAATTTTGCACACGCATCAAGGATCAATAATTTTATTAGTTTGGCCTTATAAAATATGAAATGTTTTCAGTTACAACTATACGTAATCGATTTTTTTTTAAATCTTAATTTTATAACCATCGCTTTGGCAAGTCGATGTCCCGTAATGTAACGTGTGCTAAACTCGCAAGGTCAAGGACCGCATTTGTTTCAGCCCAGACGTGATTTACGTGAATTTTGTGATAACAATTGTCAACAATTGTCAATTATGATAATCAGAATACAGTATAGCTTTTAGTAGTAAACATTTTTTTTAATAATAAATTCAACAAATTATAATTCTTGTTCATTTATTTACACGGCATAGAAATAAACAACCATGATTTTTCTTTCCATTGTTTCGGCTGCGCAAACATCTATCTGCCTCTAAGGCTTGAAATAAAATAAAAAACTCTGTCTTATCTTATAGATCAGATAAAGATGTATACGTCGATTTGATTCCAAGTTAAATCTGAAAGTGCTTATTCTCATGATTTATCTAATCGCATAAGCGGGTAATCCAGCCCACTGAGTTTCTCGCCGGATCTTCTCAGTGGGTCGCGTTTCCGATCCGGAGGTAGATTCTGCGATGCACTGCTCTTGCTAGGGCCAGTGTTAGCAACACCCCCAGTTTGAGCCCCGTGAGCTCACCTACTAGTTCGGTCAATAACCCCACGAGGTTACTAGAATAGGAAAAAAAAATAACACGATTTATTAAATCGCATAAGCGGGTACTCACATGGAAGGCGGAGGTGCAACTTTGAGATCGTCCGGTGCGTTCGGCGGCAGCCGGGAACCAATCCCTGCACCGTTGTTCGATGAACTGTATTCGTATGAGGGTGTGCCGTCGTATGAACTCTGCTGTTGAAATACATTACGTTTGAAACTAGGAAAGAACACGAGACGATCGTAACTAAGCCCATTAGTGGATATTTAGAATTGGAATAATATCGTGTAATAAAAATGAAACCCGCAAAATTATAATTTGCGTAATTACTGGTGGTAGGACCTCTTGTGAGTCCGCACGGGTAGGTATCACCACCCTGCCTATTTCTGCCGTGAAGCAGTAATGCGTTTCGGTTTGAAGGGTGGGGCAGCCGTTGTAACTATAATTGAGACCCTTAGAACTTATATCTCAACATGGGTGGCGCATTTACGTTGTAGATGTCTATGGGGTCCAGTAACCACTTAACACCAGGTGGGCTGTGAGCTCGTCCACAAATCTAAGCAATAAAAAAAAAAAAAAAATTTGCCATTGTATTAAACGAGGGATAAAAGGCAATTTGTTTTAAGCAACTAACTGTACTGTAACTTATATTTCAAGGTGGATGGCGCATTGTAGATGTCTATAGACTACACTAACCACTTAACACCTGGTGGACTGTGAACTCGTCCACCCATCTAAACAATAAAAAAAAAGCAAGATTTCAGATAATACGCAACATTTATCTTGGAAATTAAATGTCCGTTTTATTTGGTATTTGTATCAACAATACGATGTTTTCTTTCACAAGTATTATAAAGTTTATCTAAATGCGTTGCTAATAGTCAAAGCAAAGTAAGAGTATTATTATAGTCTAGTGAAAAATGACAAGAGCAGAATTACTTGACTCTCAAATGTTATACTGAATTTACGGTGATTCTTAATAGCTATTTGCATCTATTATAAATAACATTAAAATGAATCGTGGATATGGAATATTATTAATATTAATTAGAAAATGCCGCGTAACGAATTGGAATGTGTCTTGAAAATATCTTGTAGTGGACAATGAAGGTTGTGACGTCATGTAGCTTACACTCTCTTTTATCTCGTTTAAAAATTACCGCCACCAGCTTTATATTGCTAATACAGTAATTTCTGGACGATTCGATATTTTTTTATGTTTTGGAAAAACGGCTTCAAAAATAGTTTAGTTAACAGCCCTAATACTACGCTAGGGGTCAAAGATTCTAATAAAATATTAGGGTCACTTAGTAGAAGAAAAAAAAAGATCACAACCTCATAGATATTGTTGCGCATACCATTGCAACATACCTGCTATGTTTTTATATTTTCCAAATTTCTGTAAACTAAACGGTTGTCTGGAAGAGATCGCTTTTAGCGATAAGACCGCCTATTGCACAAATGTATCTGCTTTTTTGATTGTTTTTTGAATGTAAATTGTGTTTTGGTGTGCAGTAAAGTGTATTCTCTCTCTTTTTCTCTCTCTCTCTCTACTGTGAACTTAATTTAAACTCACTGGGTTGCCAAGATGCCTATGCCTATCCAAGGATCCTTGGCTTTGAGTGGGCTGAATGATCATGCTAGTCGGACGCGCAGTGTAGGTCGAATTTTCATCACTGCCAGGGTCTTTGGGTGGACCGAATAGACGCTCCTGGGCGCTTGGACGATTGTTCTAAATGAAAGAAATTGACGTTAGCATTTTAACTACATATTTTGACTTTTTGGCGGGAACGCGAGGAGTGAAGTTGTGTGATTTGTTTTATTTTGCCTATTTAGTGTTTCGTCAGGTTTAAATATGTAATAAACGGTGGTTTATTAACTGTTTAGTATGTGTGAAAGTGCACTAATGTCGGAAAATGAAACAAAGGCGCTGAACGTAACTTCTCGGGTTCTTCCAAAAAGTTCACTGAAAAAATTTCAGTAAATGACCTCCATTTTACTGAGATTATATTTCATCCCATATCGTCTCATCTAATTTCATTTAATTTCATGCCAATCGATTAAGTTTCCTGCGTTTTTTATTATTCATAAACTGTAAATAATTAAAAGGGCGAATTATAAAAATGTTAATTTTTTTATTGCCCTTGTAGGCAGACGAACACACGGCCCACCTGATGGTGAGTGGTTACTATCGCCTATGGACTTCAGCAATGCCAGGGGAAGAGCCAAGCTGCTGCCTACCGAAAATACTAATTGACGCTGGCTAATGTACAAACCGTGGCGGAGCCAAAAAAAAATGATGCAGAACTACATATTTACAAAGCCCCTAACCATTAGTATGAAATAATAAGAAATGTTTGTGATTCCTGTCGAGAATTGTATGAATATTATATAAAAAAATATAATAATAATAATAAATTGAGGGTATTTTTAGAAAGCATTTAAGAATTTGTATTTTAAGATTGATATTGATATTTACTGGTGGGTTGTGTCGAAGAGAATGCGGTGGTCGTCCCGGAGGCGGTGCCGGTAGGAGCACTCCTCCTGCCGGTCTGGTTATGGGACCGCCACGCGGAGGCAATTCTGGAACTGATAAATTATACACCCTCGTGATCCTGATTATGTCACAGACAGGAATAACGTTGTTTCTGGTTTTGAACTGAGCAAAGACATAATAATTATACAGAAAAAAAAAAAAGTACTTAACAAATGTTCACGATTGACTACCACGGTGAAGGAATAACATCGTGTAATAAAAATCTAACCCGCAAAATTAGAATTGCGTAATCACTGGTGGTAGGACGTCTTGTGAGTCCGCGCGGGTAGGTACCACCGCCCTGCCTATTTCTGCCGTGAAGCAGTAATGCGTTTCGGTTTGAAGAGTGGGGTAGCCGTTGTAACTATACTGAGACCTTAGAACTTATATCTCAAGGTGGGTGGCGGTATTTACATTGTAGATGTCTATGGGTCTCCAGTAACCACTTAACACCAGGTGGGCTGTGAGCTCGTCCACCCATCTAAGCAATAAAAAAAAACGAAAATCAATTGTTATTGCACATAAATCAAATGATGCGCTAGTTTTTTTAAGGGATTTTGTGACCTGGTAAGACTACTAAGATACTGGTACCTGGTAACTAAGACCTTAAGGTCAAATCTTATTTTAATGGAGGCGCGAGGACAATGATCTCGATGGACGCTTTCGTCATGCATTGCACATTTTTATTTACTGCGTGAATATTTTAACGTCATGTTTGCTAAATGAGTGACGTTGTAATTAATGTCTGAGCACCGGCAACACCGGTTTGATCGTGGACCTTCTGACCATATAAAGCAATAAAATAAACTTTTCTCTCGCCAATGCTAAGAAATGATTTATAACTGGCTTTTAAGTACTTCAAGTTACCTGTTCCATATAATGGCGAGTGCGGGGGCGAATGTGTCATAGGACTGCACTGGTACGGAGGTGCGTCATTGGGTCCCATATTGTGACTCATTTGGCTGTGATTTTGACTATTTGTCTGACCATTGCCGTTGGCAGCGAAACCGTACTTGCTGTCTCCGTAGCCACTTTGCTACAAAATAAGAGGCTTGAATTGATATATTTCGCGCGACATACGACATTTCAGAAGTGCATCTTAGTAAATAGTGCTCGATTCATGCATTCCTGTCTTGATTAAGGTCCAAATGAATAATACCAACCGTGTAAGGAGGTGGCACGGCGTCGTTCATATGGTTCATGTCTTCGTCGCGATCCAAATTATCCTGAGTTGTTGCTATGGAGGGATCCGAGGAAGACTTCACTAGTCTCGGAGCGGGTGGAGGACTAACTTCCAAATCGCTTTCAGGACTTGAAGCATACGAGAGTCTGTTCTCGGTACTCGACGACATTGAAAACAAAAAGTCGTCGGAGAGAGGCTCCGGTCGCTGTTCCCGCCAAGTCGCCATTTTGAGCACGTCCGCCATTTTGTGTCAGCGTCCAATAGGGTGGGTTATGGAATGGGGTGAAAACAATGAATGATCGCGTTTAAACACATCACAAAAAAAGACAAGATTTTAGCGTCTTGTGAATGATTAATGAATTTAATTTTAATTTGATAGTTTACACACCTCTGATCAAAAGTAAAGCCAATAAAAAACACATTTACAAAAAAGGCTCGTTCTCTGTGAACATTTACTTTTGTTTTATAAGCTTTAAATTTGATCAGATATAGAGGGAAGTGGATTTGTACACTGGTCACTAAATTATTAAATTTACAAAATAAACACACGGTTTTAAAAAAAAACCAAACACCGCTAATTTTCATAGAATTAAAAAACTGTTAAGTGAAGCAAAGTTATAAGCTTGATAAACCAATATCATTAATCACTATTTATAAGAAAGAAAAAAAAAGTTATATATATATAGCAAAATTCAAATACCAAATTCTTTTCGTTACTTGTGCAATATTTAAAGGATGTGTAGCTGAACCTAGACATAGCCTAAGTGTTGTTCTGAAATAGGTTTACCAAAAGCAGCCACGACGTCTTTTTCTGCCCCAGACCTATTGTCTTTCTCGTCTTTTTCCAACTCTTCAATTTTAAGAGTAGGTAAAGACAGATTTCTGATTTTGTTCAAAGATCTTTCCGAGACCGTCGGCAGAGTTCTGACCTCACTGAACCTCCCAGAGTTTAGCGTCGGTTTAGCTCCACATTTGCAGTTCGGAATTCTACATATTTGTCTTAAAGGTTTGTCTGAGCTTTTGTAAGAATCTGGCATTTCCTTTTGAAGCCTCGCTTTCCATTCGGGAATTTCGTTAGAACTTTCGTTATCGGTTACAAAAAATGAAGCTGGTCTATATTGGTCCGACATGGTCGGAACAACTGATGACGGTCTTTGAAAATTGAGCATGGCAGGTTTGTTACTAGTTTCAAGAACACTATACGGTCTAAACGCATGCGGCTGAAGGGAACTGCTTCTTGTGTAGCACTGAAGCTCTGAGCTGGCATTTAATGACGACTTCAACTTAGGTGTGGATTTTTTTTTAAGAAGTCTTTCGTCGTAATGGTAACTGGTCAATGTATGTCTATTTTTGTTAGGCATGCTATATACATTATTAGGCGTGCAAGGCGCTAAAGTCTCAGCGTAATAGTAAGGCACTAGATGATTCCTATTAGCGTCATACAAATGATCGTGAAGTTTAGTATTTGTGAGAGGCAGGCTGTGGGGTGAACTTATGGGGCGATTAGAGGACTGCTGGTACGTGTTTATGGGATAGGATATGGGATAGAATGCCGGATAAGGGGACGGCGGTATTGGGAAGTATATGTCCGACACCATTTCAATGTGCTACGCGAGACAGAACAGAAATGTTTTGTTAATAAATTTATATTATGATGCTTCCAAAACGTGGATGTCACAGAATGACTGTTACTTAATTTTTTTGCGCATCCACGTTTTGCCGTTAAAGACATACATACATACAAGAAATAATATAGAGAAACACATTTACCGGATGCACCTTTACCAAGCTACCACCTCGAAGCGTGATGGCATCTACTGTTTTAATAAACAAATACATTAAAATGATGATGCATTTCCCCTATCAATACGTTCCACATCGATATCCAGTCACAACCAAGGAAACAAATACTTAAGTAATGCATTACTTTATATATTAAAAATATATAAACTATATTAAAAATATTCGTAAAGAGCTGAAATATGTTATTTATTTTTATAGAAATCGCACTGACCTTCGTCTCCGACACCCATAGCTGTTGCTGTTGGGTCCTTTGTATCAATTCTACAAGCTTGCTGAACCACGTGTTCTGGTTAGCCTCGCTCAATGTTACTGTGTGCGTAAAAACATGTCCCCACACTCTCTCCATGTGTTGGCATTGTTCTAGAAGCTTCTTCGATGATTTATGGGCTGATCTGTAAAATCGAATTATTATTAATAGTATATTTTATTTGTAATTATCTGTTAATACTCTCCTACTCTGTATGGTAGCGCAGGACTGGACATTATGACCAATATTGGGGAAGACCTAGGTCCAACAACCATTTGTAAATGAATAGTGATAAAGATGATTTTTTTTGTATAATCTGATGTTATATATGAGTCGTCTATTATCAAAGGTGGCAATCTGTGCATTTGGACAAAAAAATGTTATTGATATGTCAATATAGATTGATTTGAATATAATCGTCTCCTTCAAAGAATACGGTTCAAAACCAATCTACAATCTAAGATGTCGTTCAGAAGAGTTTTGTGACTGCCAATGGAATACAAAGTCAATAATTCGTTTTTCTGATTTACCAATAATTGTCCAAAAGTCACATTGCCGGCTTTGATAATAGTCGACTCATATTCTCCATGGATTTATTTTATAATCTAACAATATTTAAAATTAGCCTTGACTTCATCACAATCAGATTATTCAACTTACTTTGGTAGCCCCGATCTCAGTTGTTTGATAATATGTTTGTTGTCGGCTTTCAAAAATATAACGATGGGATAGAACTGTGCATAGTTCAATCTGTCGACCGCATTTGGAGTAATGTCTAATAGGGCGTGTTTCCCTCTCTCCATAATATTCCTAATACTTGATAATCGGATTATTCCTGCCGATTTTGTTTTACTGTCCTCCAAGGAGCTGTCCATTTCTGAAAATAATTAATAAACTCAAGTTGATTTAAGCGAGCGCTTTCATCAAATACCTCTGCGAATTGTAATACATAAGTTTCAAGATATATACAAATAATTATAGTAAATTTAATTTTTTTTGGTATTCGTGTGCATAAAAGACATCGATTTTGAATTACAATAAGTAAATTATGTGTTACAATATCGAATTTTAATTTTTTTCTTTACACACTTGGATGATATCATAGTATTCGAATTTAGAGATTACCATGGAGGCGAGTTTAATAAGTACTAATGATTATTGATTTCGCTTACTTGGTGATGAGAATTTATCAGGATTTTCAGTAAGCAGCCGTTCTCTGGCGATATCTGAAACGGCTCCTAAAACTATAACTGGCCGTATGAAGCCCGGTTGTTTTAACACTACACGCTCGTATGCTGGGAATTTACTAATGCTATCAGACAGCACCACTTCATCCCAATGCTCCTGAAAAATCAATCACAAATAAATTTTCATACTCTTACCTTGTACCTCGCTGAAACCATTATTACAAAATAAATTACTACTTTGACGATATGAGATCCAGCATATATAAATAATCCGATAATAATAACTCGCGTACTATTTTTGCATATATATACAATTAAGATATAATGGTTCTTGATCTTCCAGACATTTATTTTTTTTCGGGTAGAGGGCCGAACCTCCTACGAGGTCCCCGCGCAAAAGGGGCGGGCGGGGTATGTGAGACTCAACGGTCTGCATGGTGTTGTGAGCAGACCGCGGACCCAAGGATTTTAGGGCCAAATAAATAAATAGATAATAAATAATAAATAGATCTTCCAGACCTAAATTTCACTAAAGTTCTGATTGCATTTTATTTTATAAGAGAATATATTTTAAACACTATGCAATCTATCCTTTTCTAACCTTTCCGAGGCTCTTGCTTCGCCTATGCGTAGAGCGTCGCCTCCTAAAGAAATTGCTCTTTCCATCATTTCCTGACATTTCCTTCTTCGTCGCATTGAACTGTGCTGTAGCTAGTTCTTCGGCACGCGCCTTATTAGGTATTGTCCCTTTCTGGACTTCTTGATTATTTCGGCCTAGTATCAAAATCAAAAAATTAGATTTTATTCAATATGCTATAAATTGAAAAGTGTTTTTTTTTTAATGGGGCAGAAGAGGAAACATACGATTTCTAATATGATAATTCCTGACTTATAATTTCGTAACTGCTTGTAAATGTTCCAGAAGGATCTCACCTATCCGATAAACTTGCCACGCCCCAACAGTGCCGTTATGTAAAGTATCAACGACGTGGAAGACATCGCCGCAGCGAAAAGACATTTCCCCATCAGTCGGCTCCGTGTAGTGGAAATGAGTTTTTACGTGAAATGAATCACCCGCTGTAATGAAATAAATGTGGATTAAGTAAGACCAACTGAATGGTAAATTAATGTGGTTTTTATAAATATATCAGAAAATATGAAAATGAAAAATTCATTCTAATAAATAAATTATTAATTCTAAAAGGCTTAATATTAATATGTTTTTATGCTATTTCTTCGACACATAATTTATATAAATATTTTTAAAGCGGTTATATTGAAACATACGCATCTGTCCACTGGCTACAGCGTTGTATTCATCAGGCGAATGTTGGACTATGAGGTCGATTCTATCTTGTAAACTCAACAGAAACAGCACTGCTTCTTCACGGGTAACACCTTTCATTTCCATGTCGTTGACCTGGAATTATTGAAAATTTGCCGAATTTTTCATCGTGTAATGGCGTGTAATGCGTTTTTATGCATTATAGTGAAGTTTAATCATTTTATGGGTTGACTCTGTGACTTAGAAATATTTTTTAATCAACCAGTCTTAATACACTAATATTAAATCCTATTTTTTGCAGCCTAAGCTTTTGCAGAATATTTATCTTTGGAAGTTCACCGAGACCATCAACCAACCTGGTTACCAGCGCCTGGAGGCATTTTACTTCTAATGCGCCTCAGATATAAGTCTAATTAATCTTTACCAGAATTATCCCACAATTTCGCAAACCAAATTCACCGTGTTTGTCGCATTTGTTGCATTGTCACCAAAATATATCGTCTTCTCGCATTAAAACTGTATAATTTCAAAACTTACTAATTTTACAGGAGAGTGTTTTTAAGGTTTAACGTGTAATATTTTTAATATTAATCATCTTTGCAACATTTATTTTTTATTCTTTATCAGTAAACTTATCTATCTTTTAAAGTAAAATAAAATTATGTATTAATTTTGTTAATAGTAGTCGAAACATAAGTACCTAAACTAAAAAAAAAAACTAAAACTAAACTACGCACTTTTGACAGTACTTATGAGAAAAATACTGGTGATACCAAATGTTTCCGCATATTAACTCAATTCCGAATATTTTTTGAAATTGTACACTTTTAATGCGAAAAGGCGATATGTCAAGATTATGATTACTTAAACAACAAGTCCTTGAATAAATCATTAAAATGCGTTAATCAGATTTAAATTGTAACGTAACAATTGAACATGCAATTTCGAAAAGGGCACATGTCGCATATTTTATCAAATACGTTTTTTCATATACATGTAGTTTTAGTTTAGGGTGCTGGTGGTGCTGCCCCGCTTTTGTAGCGCGTCAGGGATGTTTGCAGACGCGCACTTAGATTGTTTTTACGCTACCATGCGTAAGAGGTGTGCATCTCTGGTAAACAGAGTGAGGGCCAGCTCCAACAGTATCCTGAGCATGATCGCAAGCAGGCTGGACTGTGTATACATGGGTCGCTGTGGTGCCATCTCCCATGGGATATTACCTGTCGTAATTCATTGTGATGTAAATATAACTACTAACATAGGTCTAAGTCTTATTAACAATTTATATGAGTCATGGTTACTTGCAATAAAAACATTATTATTATTATTATTATTATTAAGGCTTACCTACACCCATTTTATAATAATTCCAGTAATTTTTAAATTGCTAATTAACACTAAAATATATCTCAAAAGTCAATATTTTAAATTTTACACTGCTTTAGAAAATAATCAGTTTTTTTCATTTCCTGAACAATTTACATTTTCAGAGATGTGCCCTTTTCGAAATTGCATATTCAATTAAAAAGTTAAGAGTACCATATGTATTGTTACAATCATACCTTCAGTATTTTATCGGCTGGTTGCAGTCCCTGCAACGCCGCAGGGCTGGTCGGTTGGACTCCCGATACGAAGACACCCGAACGATTACCACCGCACAATCGCAACCCTACTGACCCTTCTTTTTGGAAACTTATTAATCTTGGTTCACTCCTGAAAAAACAATAATACAGTGATTTAAAACCAAATACACTAACATACACATTAGAACTATTGAATGCGATCATTAACTTACGGTGGTTTGTTCCTTTGATTCATTGCTTCTTCTTCATACAGCTGTCTTCTGCTGCTGTAGTAATCTGCAAACAATATTATGGAATTATTAGCTTTAGATTTTGTCTCAACTATAACGCCTGATTTGCCTCTATATTATACCGAATATACATAGAGGAATCTGACAATTGATATTCTATTTCCAAATATTTCCGAGTTCATGCAACTGTATCGGATGTATGATATTAAAATCCCCTTTCCATTAGATTCCTTTTTTTTATTGCTTAGATGGGTGGACGAGCTCACAGCCCACATGGTGTTAAGTGATTACTAGAGTCCACAGACATCTACAGCGTAAATGCGCCACCCATTGAGATATAAGGTCTAAGTTCTCAGTATAGTTACAACGACTGCCCCACCCTTCGAACCGAATGTTTCACGGCAGAAATAGGCGGGGCGGTGGTACCTACCCGCGCGGACTCACAAGAGATCCTACCACCAAAACTTACTTAACTATATAGCAACTGTATAGTCAAAATAAAGCACACTAAACAAAAATTATCTGTGTAACGCAGCGTTCCATTTCGCGGGGCAACAGTGGCCAAATGGGATATGACTCAGGTCCGTGCCGCGACGACCCACCCCGTGCTATCCGCGCCCGCGCACCTATTACATCCCCTAGTAGTGCGCCAGATTTTGAAGCGGCAAACACGCGTCCCCGGTCGATACCGGAACTGACAACCCGAGAGTCTCATGCTAGTCGGGCACCCAACATTAAATCTGAATGTTTTCCTTAGTTTCCTCATCCAGCGTTGCCTTTTCAGTGGTGTTGTTATAAAACAATTAAGAAGGTAAAATCAACCTCTTGTTTTCACCTACCGTCATTTCTGGGTGGCGGCGGTCTCGGGGGTTGTTCCACTTCGTGCGACATCGGTCCTCTCCTCGCGTCGCCGGAGCCGCCCCTGACCGGCGCCGCTACGTACAAGTTCTGTCCGCTGCTAGAATACGCCGGAGACAACGGTTCGGCCCCAGGATACACGTTATGGGACGGAGCATCTGTTAAGAAAATTTGAGTACTGGAAATTTTCACTTTCCCTTTTTGGGATTTTTTTTTCTTGCTCAGATGGATGGACCGGCTCACGGCCTGGTGTTGACTGGTTACCGGAGCCCATAAACATCTACAATGTAAATGCCGCCACCCACCTTGAGACATGAGTTTTAAGGTCTCACTTTTAACAGTACAACGGCTGGGCAGCCGTTGTACTGTTAAACTGAATTTAATTAAACTGCCATTCAAACTGAAATAGGCTGGATGGTGGTACCTACCCGTCCGGACTCACAAGACGTCCTACCACCAGTACGTTTTATGGGCACAATTTTATATAGTAATTTTGCGCTGATATATGCACGCTTTTGTTTACTGACGTAGGTTAGGAAATATATTTCATCTATAACTAATAAGTAGACAAATAGTAAACATGAATTGTCTTAAAAAATGCAAACAAATAAATGTGTCGCATAAAAATGTATCAAAGCTTATTATATCTTTGTTTTCTGCCGGTTTGTCAGTAAGCTTGTATCAAAAAAAGATATGTCGTAATACCAATCCGCACCTTCAAAGACCACTTACCCAAACTACTGTAATTGTTCTGATAGTTCCCATTCGTGACCGTTTCTTCTCTTATTAGTTCTCTGGTCACGACCAAGTTCAGTCGGTCCTTACAAGATTCCACTAATTTTCTGGCCTCTTTCAGTGTCATGGCATCCGTTACGGGTGTATTATTAATCCTCGATATGACGTCGCCCTCGCATAGGCCTTGTCCGTTTTGGTTCAGCTGTTCTCTTGCTCTCATCGTTAACTCTTTTATATACAATTTACATCCAAGCACGACTCCGAAATCTAGAATAAAAAAATTTTTAACTTTCAAACTAGGAGAGAAGATTTTAAGCAAAATAGTTTCCAAAGCCTTAACTGAGAAGTATTATAAATCTTGCGGATTTTAATACTGTCTATTAGACGGCATGTTGTTAGCGATTATCCAAAATTATTTCATTGAGAAACAGTACTGAGTACAGATCAAGTCGGATCAGTGATGAGGGTGATTTGTGGAGTAAAAGCTTGTCACAAATGCTACAACGGGACGTACAACAGTCTATAAAAATACCGTATTGATTTGATGGATCTAAAAAAATATAACTGACCTTCTTTCTTCCCATTCCTAGAGAGGGCTAGTTTAATGGTGGTGGGAGCAGTGGGTGGTGGCGCTGGAGCTCTCCGTCGAACCACCAGTGACACAGCCGCGCCCGAATCCCGCAGTACCTGTACAGCACGCGCGTACTCCACATTCTCAAGGGACACGCCGTTCACAGAGACAATCCTGTCATTCACCCTGGAACATCATTACGATACACATCACTCATAGATCCAGCAAAAATAATCAAAAATCAACTTAAGTTTGAACTTGAGATCTTAGAACTTATATCTCAAGGTGTGTGGCGCATTTACGCTGTAGATGTCTATGGGCTCCAGTAACCACTTAACACCAGGTGGGCTGTGAGCTCGTCCACACATCTAAGCAATAAAATAAAAATAAAAAAAGAACTTAAAACAAAGATCACGGTCTAAAATATACTTGGCGACTTTGTGTACTTAAAGCTTGATGATAAAGATAAAGGACCGAGATGTCATATAGATGACAAAGCTTGGAAATATGAAAATGTAGGTTCTTAACAAAACAGTAGGAGAATTGTAACTGGATGTATAAAAATAGAGGAGTTATGACTAACGTGATCTTTTTTTTTTTTGCAAAGCAGGACGCGTACGGAATTTCGTATATAAATAAATACAGATATAGGGTACGTCGGGGTTACATTCTTAACCAACATGCCCTTAAAATAATATTTGTAAATAATTTCCCAACAAAAAACTACTTTTCTACAGCAAAATTAGAGTCACTTTAGTATGTATTTTGTAATACATTAAAGATTTGGGATAAATAAGTATTCGGTAAGTTTCTAATAAACACATGCGTAACCCATAAATGAAAGCGGGACATTTTTTTCTCGTTGGGGACAGCGGGACGGACAGCCTGAAGGCGGGACAATCCCGCCCAGAGCGGGAAGTATGGTCACGTTAGTTATGACTGCCAAAATTCACTAATGGAATGGCACTTAAAGTAGAACAGCACTCACTGGAGTTTATCCTCAGCGGGACCACCGCGTAACACATCCGACACTGCTATAGAGGGATCTCCACTCGCGAAGTGAGGATTGTCTCTGCCTCCAGATACGGCAATGCCGAAGCCGTATCCTTGCACTCGATTCAAGCGCACACGATGCGTTTCCCAGCCAGTGCTGCGTTCTGCGGTCTGTGGGCAATATTAAATATGTCATAAGTATCTTTTAAAAAGGAAAAATGAGCTCAAGTTTTTTTTATTGCTCTTATAGGCAGACGAGCATACGGCCCACCTGATCGTGAGTGGTTACCGTCGCCCATGGACTTCAGCAATGCCAGGAGCCGAGCCAAGCCGCTGCCTACCGATCTTCGTTTACTAGTGTCTCCTCATTTAGTGTCTCTTCATTTACTAGTGGTGGTACAATTAAGGTCTATTGCAAGGCGCCTACAGGCAGGTACCAACACCCTGCCTATATCAGCCGCAAAACACTCATTCTCTTCGTTTTGGACAGTCGTTATTAAATACACTTTCAATTTGATGTTTCAAAATGACCGGTTGCATTTCGGGTTTTGGGGTCTTCGGAATCCACTGATCGACTCAAACCGTATAGTAAGTAGTCTGCCAATCTAAAAGGAATGCAGCGACGACGTCGAAGACGAACTTCTTAATACTTTTAAACATTCAAAACGAGTAACATGAATATTAAATATCGACATATTCAGACAGTCATTTTATATTCTATCCACGCGATCGCGCTGTAGCCGCTTATAAAATTCTTAAGAGTTTTAGACGTTGAATAATTGAATCTTAAAAAAGAACTTCACTTTATGGGTATTTAAGTATAATTTAGAAAAATGTATATTGTTAATCGAACGCTATTGAGTGTTTTAAAAAAATCTTGTTCTTCATAAACTTAGTTATAGACCACGAAAGTCCTAGTATTTATTGATGTAGAATTTATATATAAATCGACAATAACAGGAGTAGGTCGATTTAATCCTTTAACGTTCGGAGATAGAAGCCTTTAAAGTTCTTTGTGGGGATTTATAGAGGGAATGCTATCCTTTTCTCGCAACTTTTGGTTTAGAATTTGTATGGCACACGCGAACATTGTATACTTTGATGTTCATTTTTAAGATACTGCTATCCCTGTCTAGCGTGAAATAATTTTTTTATGATCATTTACAGTTTTCTGCACCTCAATGACTTTACCGACATCCGAAAACAGAATTAAAACTACTTTTACTATTTAACCTCGCGTTTATCACTGTCGTGGGTACATCCGATGTGACGAGCACTTACCAGTTTTCATGGTCACTGAGGTTCAAATATTAATTAGATTATCTGTGACTAAGGTATAATTTGTCTACTTTTGAATATTGTGTATTAGCTAGTCTAATTTTGTATAAAAGAACTTCTTGAGTGTTACGCTTCGTTTCACGTAGAAATAACCGATAATATCTTGAGGTCTGGCAGTTTTTTTTAGTTGAACTTTTATTGTCACGAGAGGGTCTCTAATGTTATAAAAAATACTATTTAAAAAAAGGATATTTGAGAGAAATAAATATTTTCTATCAATCATATCGTTTAACGTTTTATGAAAGGCGCTGACTTCATGACGCTAACGTTTCAGATTGCAGTAAGTACGTACGCTATTGAATGTCATACGACTTCACATAGTTTAATCTCATTGAGGGAAAATGTATAAATGGATCAGAAATTACAATAATACAGACAAGGCCTTGGAACTGCGATACTTTAAGACAAAAAAAAATTGTATGGAAACTAGCGACATCTTGTAGCGGATGCCCAAAAACTTATATGTTGTGAAAGTTAAACTATTTAATTATTGTACAACTAAACACAAAAAATTAAAATAAAAAAATATCATACGAGTCTTTATTTGTTATAGACAAATTGATTAAATTCTATCAATTTGTGGTTTCTGAAAATATACAAAATCCTGCATTAAAAATAAATTATAGGATACGTACTACGTTACTGCCATCTTCAGGAGCAATGAGAAACTAATCGAAGCGAAGCCATCTAGTGGCCGACCCCCGTAAACATTTTTGTTGAGTGCTTGAGTTGCTTATCTATAACTAATTTATGTTAATTATCTATGATAATACGAGAACTCACGCCCTAGTTTATGTTCAACACTTCTTATAGTCCACAAGCATCATAACTATTCTAAATACTCGTATTTAGTGCGTTGAGAGTTCACACGTCATTACGGATCCTCCCGATCCATTAACGGTGCTTTTAGGTACCTCAAGCAGCGGTCACCGTCCTCGCCGAGCCCGTCGCTTGCGACAAAGGGCTCGACGAGTAAATTAACCCACAGCCACAGCCCACTGAGTTTCTCGCCGGATCCTCTCAGTGGGTCGCATTTCCGATCCGGTGGTAGATTCTGCGAAGCACTGCTCTTGCTAGGGCCAGTGTTAGCAATACCTCCGATTTGAGCCCCGAGGGCTCACCTACACGCTGGGGTAACGCTGATATAACCTCGCAAAGGTAAGAAAAAAAATGAGAGTTCATTCACATTGAAATCGCATACAGTTTTCAAAATTGCAACGGATACTATGTGAAAACATTAATATACAATGCGTTGTCTATGGCGTATGGGTGAGACGACCGCTGTATTCGTATCGATTGAGGCGACTAAGTCAAACCCTCAAAAGCTTTTGGCCAGTAGACAAGTAACCTTTTTAAAAAGTAAATAAATATTTCATATTATGTATTCATGAACGATTTTGACGACGAGCCGATAAAATCAAACTAAAGTTTTGTAAATACCCGTAATTACAAGTGGCTTAAGGATGACTTTAAGAATCAAAATCAATGAAAAACGATCTTGAATAATATATTTACATTAATTTAGGTTGATTTACAAGCGCATAACTTTTTAGTGATCGAATTTAGCATAGTAATATGTATCTTATATAAGTTTTTTATAGCAAATTGAAGAAATAAGCTTAGTTGATACATTTGAGCATGCCAAGTAATCGTCAGTGAGATTATCATAACGCCATTTACGTCCTGTCATTGTTTTATCGAATTTAAATGAAACAATGCTGATACGATCAATATTAGGGCTGCCATCCCTTTTGAATAAAGCTTAAATACATATTGAGAATTGACTTTTTTTTTTTATTGCTTAGATGGATAGACGAGCTCACAGCCCACCTGGTATTAAGTGGTTACTGGAGCCCATAGACATCTACAACGCAAATGCGCCGCCCACCTCGAGACACAAGTTCTAAGGTCTCAGTATAGTTACAGCGGCTACCCCACCCTTCGAACCGAAACGCATTACTGCTTCACGGCGGAAATAGGCGGGGTGGTGGTACCTACCCGTGCGGACTCCCAAGAGGTCCTACCACCAGTGAAAAAGAAGACTGAAAAAGAGACTTGAGAATTTTAGTGAAAAATGTTTGCATCTGTATTTTCTGATAGTATTCCAACAAAATCCTTTTTTTCGGTCTACCTCGTGAACTAAATTTAATATCAGAAGAGTGACATATAGTTTAAATACTCTGGTGATACAATTTTGATCTTTTAACTCGATAGCTTTTAACAAAGATATGCTTCAATTTCCTACTAATATCGTCCGTAACGTAACCATAACAAGGACAAAGATTATGAATACAATAATCCACTGAGTGTCCCGCTGGAATTTCTCAGTGGGTCACAGTTCCGATCCGGTGGTAGATTCTGCGAAGTACTGCTCTTACTACGGCTGGTGTTAGCAAATTCTCTCTCAGGTTGAACTCACCAACCAGAGTGTAGGTAGCTGGTATAGCCTCTTAAGCTAACAGCGAATATGTAGGGAAAGAAAACAAGTACCTATAACGTAAAACATAAAATAATATATATAGCTTACATATAAGTATTATTTTAGCAGAATATGAATACTTAACAGAGAGAGAGAGAGAGAGAGAGAGAGAGAGAGAGAGAG